GCGCAGGTGTCGGGTAAGAGAAACAGGAATTACTCTGGACGAGAAAAATCTTTTTCAATAAAAAAAGAATCGACGTTGCAAATTTTTATGAGGAAGCAAAATACTCAGAATTATTAGATGTCAAGAACACAGTGTTTTTACCAGTAACGCTGAATGTCAACTGAACTTTAGATACAACATATTTTTCACAGGTTACTTGATCCAAACTGAAGTTACTGATTCAAAAGTATTATATTTATGATCTTAATGTATTGATGTATCAATTAATGGCAAAGTGAGACACCTGAAGGCGATGTGATCCACTAAAGAGAAGATCTATCGCTCTGCTGGATTTGCTGGAGCTACAGAAACACCCCGTCCAATCTGATGGTACAGTCGTGTTACAGTGTGAAGCTTCACTGAGCAGACGTCGGCTTCACAGACGCTTTAACAAGGCAGAAAGTTCAATGATGTTACTGCCCGTCTTGGCCAGGACACTGCTGACAAAGGGATTTTTAATCTCAGTGAGGTTTTCTTGGTTATATAAAGGCTAAATAAAACTGTTGGTGTGACATCAGGTTCCTCACCGAGTTACTATTAGTATGTGACAGTTGATATGTGTGAAAGTGATTGTTAGATTTGTTCAGTGCTCTTTGCTAATGGTAAGCAGCTTAGCAAAGCTGGGTATTCTACCAGCCACCATGTCTGGATTCAGACTCACTCCAGTGCACCCAAATGTCGTTTCACACTCACACAGGATGCAGGCGATCCTCACCCAGGTCAATAAAGGAAGGACGGGATTCTGACCTGTATTGTCTGAACCTATTAATTATGTTCCAGGACCAGCTCGGGACACCTAAACTTCTCAGTCAGCGGAAGTATTGTCTGAACCTATTAAAATGTTCCAGGACCTGCTGGGGACACCTAAACTTCTCAGTCAGCGGAGGAGACTTTCCTTGATCAGGGTAAAATGGATTTTGTGCTACTTTACTCCAGACTGATATATTTGTTTTATATTTTATTTTTGGCACTTTGTTTCTGTGAGTTTGTGTTTTATGAACCCCTGAGTGTGGTATCCAGCAGTCCATCGTCACCCTGATACAGGACTGTGATACACACTGTAGTGCGATGGTCGTGAATCAGGGTTGAACTGCTGTTCCTGTTATTCTGTCCAACTCCCCTGCCTCACTGATTTAATTCTGCAAGACTTTGAGCTGTTTGGTTTTCAACACAGAAAACAAAGAACGTAACATTTAAAATTGCCACCTCACCAGACTTTGGCCAAAACGAGCCCTGCACATTATTCACATCACAGCCTGTACTGTACATCTCCATGAGTGAACGCTGAAAAGTGTTCCTCGTCTTTGCTACGACCGTGTCACCACCCTGCAAAACCCTGATTATGATCAGTGACAACATTTTTTCACACCCCATCCATTATTATATAAATGGAATGTTGTGGTTATGGAAACCAGACTACGATCAACACAGGAATAAGAAACTAAAACACTTGGGAAACATTATGGTCATGATTAATAAACACCTTAATTCCACCCTGTGACAGGACAAACTCCAATATCTGACTTCCACACCGAGTGTAGGCACAGGACAGGCATCATGAGGTGCTGGTGTGCCCAGTGTAAACATTCATCCCTGGGATACTGGGCTGGTTTTTAACCTTGTTTGTTCACAGTAAATTTCCACTGGTCCGCCATCCTGAACAGGCGTCAGCACAGACTCAGTTACTGTGTTGGTGTGTGTGTTCAGGGTAAAACCACGTAGTGAGACAGTGTCACTTTGACTCCAATGTGTCAGAGAACATGAGAGAAAACAGCAGAACAACAGAAGATGAAAACATCAGCAACATCCTGACATACAGTATAAACATCACGGCTGCAGGTCGGATCACACAAGACACGTTCTACAGCTGCAGCTGTTTCCCATTCATTCCTTCACGATAAAACAATGGTCCAAAGCAAAAGTCATGGGAAAAACCAAAGAGATGGAGAGGATTTCAACCAAGAGACTGCAGCACCGTTCACTCAGCTGGACCATAACGACGGGCTTTTAAGAGTCACAGGCAGTCGTAGAAGATTTGTCATCACTGTACCCAGATGTCTAACCAGAGCAGGTTAGACACACCAGGCTGTCTCTTTACTGTAGTCAGAGTTAAAACTATTCAGAGCTTGGCTGCTGCCAAACAGGAAGTTATCAGATAAAGAAGTGAGTCAAAACGCTAGCTCAAGGTTTCCAGTGAGGGAGAGTTGTGATGTCTGATGACCTGAACACATGACATGACATGGGGGTCGTCTAATATTCGAGGCCGATACAATTACCTGTTCTCCATGTGTAATGGAGAATGTATCGGTGTAACAGTCTTCACCAGAGAGAGGTGAATTATGGGTGGTTGGTAGCCTTAATGCTGCTGGGCTAGCCAATGCTTTCACTCCGTTTATACGGAGTCTTTCTGAATCAGACAGCAACAGAAGAGTTTGTTAATTTAACTTGCAGGAGTTTTGGAAGACTTGTGTGACATGTGCTGCCAGAAAGGAAATAGATTCATGGCGTGTTAGAGAAAGTTAATCTGACCCCTTCAACAGTCTTATAAACAGGGTCTTCCTGTATTTGGGCCAATACTTGCTTAAGTCTTGTGCCCTTTTTTCTGGCTAGCTTCTATTTCATTAGCACATATCCTCTTAAACAGGGTTTATTCATCGGTTTTTGTGACACACAAATATGATCCTCAGATTTTTCTGTCCACATCATGAGCGAGGAGCTACAAGCTACAGACCCCGTTAAGCTCTGGCATCATGCTGAAAGGTAACAAATCACGATGTCTGGTCTTTTCTAAAGGGCGCAGCAAAATTAATCTGTGTATCGTCAACTTGGTGATGTACTGAGGGCTGGGGAGCTAAATGCTAACACAAGCTAGCTAACCAGAGTCTCTAGGCTTCTTGTGTTTTGGCTTGTTTTTCCAGGGACTTATTTCATTTAGTAAAGAGTTACTGACACTTAGCAAGGTGTCAGAGTTAATTGTCAGCCTGAATTCGGTATAGTTAACCTGCCAGGGGATGTTATGGCTGCTGCTAGCTGAACTAAACGACTGCATGTGACAGCTGCGGGACGATGCTGCCGTCAAGCTGCAGACAAACCCCTGCAGGAGTCCGTCCGCCTGTCATCACTGTGATGCTTTTAAAAGACAGTTCCAGCACGAGTCCGGATGTTTTGCTCATTACCTCTGCCTGGACTGGCTCTTAGCCAAGTTTATTTTTCATTAGATATTTGATTAGATACAAGACTCAAATAACAGGTCTGTTGGTTTTATGCTGCGTTTTTTTTTTTAAAAAACCACCAGAAAACTCTGCACTCAAAAGGTTCTTCTTTCTGTTCTGAAAGAAAAATTATGCTCAGCAAAGTACTTTAAAACTGTTTTTCTAGAATTTCTGACAAGGCTACCACAGTGTGAAGATGGTCCAAATGATCTCTGCAGAGCTGGTTCATGATCCCATGTCAGGCACCAACATGTACAATACACTGTTAGCAGTTATCCTGAGTTAGAGGGTGAATCCGCTCCAATCAGTGCGTATTAGCTAAATCTCTCAGCTTTCTTCAGTCCTAACTTTCACTGTCAATGTGTTAGATTCCGCCTCCTGTCAGGGACAGTCCAGTAACTACATATAAACTATTCAGCCAGCTCCAGTCAACTAACTGGAATATAATTTAAAGCAGTGGTTCTCAAATATTTTCTGTCACTCCCCACTAAAGAGGGTTGGCAAATTTTCAAACCCCACTTGTCAAAAAATTATAATGAAATTGGCCAATTTTAAAATTTCAAATTTATTGAAATATCAAATAACACTAAGTTGAAAACAGATAAAATATAAGTTGAACTGTATCGTTTGACTGAGGGATAGTTTTCAGTTTTACAGCACTTGTTTCATCCAGCATAACTGACACCATGTCTACAGCTACAGGGAGAATGAGCTGCTCAGCAACTGGCTGGGGTGTGTTGTCTCTACGTCTTCTTAATTTGTTGGGTCTCATGCTGTCTGCTGCCAGCGGTTTAAGACACAAGACACACATGGGTCTCTCCTCTGCCCCCACCATTCCCACCGTGAATCCAAGTGCAAGATATTTTCTTTTCAGCTGGCTTTTTGGTTGTTTCTTTGTCTGCTTGCACTGAATCGCCTGTTTTTTTTTTTGTGGTCCATGTAACAAATTTATCCATTTACGTTATTATGCCCACTACGTACACTATTGGCGCTCTGTGTGAACGTTTCCTTATATTGTTGCGCGGCAGTTAACATGTCGACGTTAAACCATTATTGTTGCACTATGGTTCCACTTTTTTCCCCTGGGCCCCGAACTGATGTTATTTTAATTTACTTGTATTAATGACCCATTTCTAATTTTCCCAGTTCATTGCGTCCCACCTGTCATGTCTCTATTCCCCCACTAGTGGGGCACGCCCCACACTTTGAGAACCACAGATTTAAAGCCACAATTCAACACAGCTCCAGTCTAGAGTTGCCTTTGTCATGTTATTTATACAGTGAAGGTTTTCTCCATCCCAGCACAACCACAGGTTTGTTAGGTACCTTGACAGATGAAATGAGAGAACAGCTGTTTGTCACACTTGCACCTGATGAAACCTGCTGGTCTCTGGGTTTAACTGACATCCTCTTGGACAAAAGCCACATTTTTAACTTTGACCCATCACCGCACAAAGTTAAAAGTTTCCTAAAGTGAAGTAAAATCCTGATGCAAACACAAGAAGGGGAAACTGGAAATGAGCAAAACCTCAGATCATGCTGGAGTTGCCTTTTAAACTCCATGTTGACACACAGATAAACGAGGAAGAGCAGCTGCTGCACAGCAGCTCGTTACGACAGCGTCCGGTGTGTTCGAGCTCTTCATCAGAGTGATGAATTTGTGCAGCAGCTGTCAACTCCTCTCATCTGTCCACCAACATGTCATCAGAGAGCCGAGCTCCCCTCTGACTGGCTGGCCGGGTCTCTTACCGGTCTTTGAGGTCCAGTCGGGTCCGACTCTCTCCGACGGGGACGTCCTGATGGCAGCGAGTGACAGGGCGACTGGGCAGGGCTCCCGCCACTCCTCCTTGATGCTTCCTCCTCTGTTAGCGTCAGCATCCCTCGGCTGCCCTCCCTGGTGTGCATCTTTGGACGGACCACCAGCTCCCCTCCTGCAGGAAAACAGAGTTAACCAGAGTTACAACACAACAAGGTCTGAAAGTCAGTACTGATGCAAACGCTGTGCATCAAAGACTCCAGTAATGGATTGGAAGTTCAACTCTGGTGTGGCTGAGGTGTTTAATATGTTTGTGTTCAGACAGCGTTTAACCTTAATATCTCGGGCTTCTTTAGCTCATGAAATACACAGATTAGAAAAAAAACGGTTGGGCTATATCTTTATATTGTCGCTATATTGTTATTGTCACTTCCAAACAGGTGGAGATGCTGAGTGGAAAGATGGCACCACATTTCATTTACAAGTCCCTACCAGGCTTCTTCTTCATAGCAATAGTGCTTGAGGCTTATGGGTACTGTAGTACTTAGATCCCATGCCATATGACAAACAACACAATTTAACAAAAAGGAAACTGAAATAATTAAAACTGGTGGTGATAACCATACCACTGACAGCCATAAACCAATACGATCGTTACATTATCAGGGAGAGTCCTCAGTGAAATGGGAATACAGAATCGGAGGAAGGAGTGGCCCTCCTCTTACATTACAATGAAAATTTTCAGTACCCAGACCTGCAGAACTGATTTTCACCTTTACCCATGGAAAACCATTTTGGTTTTGTGCTGTAATTTCAGGGGTAAACTCCTACCTCCAGCCCTAAGCCGCCTCCTCTCCTCTTGCTCCTCCAGGGGCCGGAGCTCCTCGGGCTCCTCGTCAGTTGTTCCAGACGTAGTTGGCTGGAAGTCTCGAAGCTCTGTTTCTTTGTCGATGATCACCCACTCTTTGCTGTCAAAGTCCTCCTCCTCGGCCAGCGGGACGGAGCGGATGAAGGCATTGCTGTGCGCCTCCTGGTCAACGGATGCCACTGAGACCTCCTGTCGGCCACTGACCTGTCGGTCTCCACGGCAAGCGGGGTCAACGGACAACATCTGAGCCGGCTGGGAGGAGTAAACGTGACGTGACGGAGAGCCAAGGATGTCCATCCTAGACCTAGAAGACACAGACAGACATGTAGAGACAGAAATGTGACTCGATCTTGACTTGGCTGTCAACTGAAGACACCGAGGATGTCTGTCTGGCCACGTCTGACTTTCACAGACCAAGTCAGACAAGAAAAGTCCTAGTTAAGTCTCGACTTCTACAGAGAAAGGCCAAGTCAAGTCTGAAGTCTGTCAAGCCCAAACCAAGTTAAGCTTCAAGTCTCTGATGGCAAGTTCATGTCTTGTTGAACAGAGTCTCAGGTGAGTGGGGCAAGTCCAAGTCAAGCTCAAGTCATCATAGTCAGGTCCAATTATGTCTAAAGCCCTTCATGTCAAGTTCAAAGCAAGACTGAGGTCAGTCAGGGCAAGTCCAAGTCAAGTTGAAGGCAAAGTCAAGTTAAAAGTTGGCAATGTCCAATTTAGGTCTCAAATGCTTGAGTGAAAGTCATTTAAGACAGGTCCAAGCCAAATCTTAGGTCCTTAAGGCCCAAGGAAGTCACAAACCATGTCAAAAAGGTGTCTCAAGTCAGTCAAGACAAGTTTAATCTTAAATTGTTGAGAGCCAGTCTAAGTTAAGTCTTGGGCCAGCTGAGACAGGCCCAGGTCAAGTCACAAGTCTTATCAGAGAATGTCACAAGTCAAGTCTCAAGTTAATGAGAGCAGGTCTAAATCAAGTATCAAGTCCTTGGGGCATGTCCCAGTCATTTGCAGGTCTTCCAGGTGTGTGAATGTTGGGCATTAAAATGATGCTGCTTTTGATCTTGTTTCTTTTTTACATAACTGAGACCAAGTTCTTTCTGTGAGAGAGAAACATGCACATTTATATTTTCAGAAAACCAAAAACTGTCTCCTGCCCTTAAACCTCCTCTGGTGTTTTCACCTCTGTCCGTATGCGTCAGCCCGGCCCTCAGCAGCAGACAGGCGGTCAGACTCGGGGCTGTTAACCCGGTGGTACCGTAAAGACCGACCCTGACCCGTTGGAGAGTCTGGGGCTCCACCACAAACTGGTGACACTGGACATGGCCCCCGACTTGCTTCCTCTTCCTGAGCCCCCTGAGGAGGACAGAAAGTGATACTTTATAGTCCAACACAACAGCCACTTAAACACGAGGTACAAATAAAATAATTTACAAATGTCTGCACTGTCTCATCCACTGGCTGTGACTAACAAACATTGGCTTTAACAACATTTCAGTGATCAAACCTAGTGCCAAGTCCATGTAAGGTCCAAGTGAGGTGGAGTGAGCCTATGTGAGAATATAGCAGTGTATAGTCTGGAGTATTCACACAGAGCTAGTGGGCGTGTTGATGACGTTCTATCATGTGACCAGCGCCAAACTAGAAGAATGCAAACATCCAATGGTGAATAAAAACAATGAAGACACCAACAAAAATATCCAACTGGAGACATGAGGAGATTCAGGAACTTCTGTGGTTAAGAGCCGGCTCCAGAATCGTCAGACAAATTTAAGGAACAGCGACACCAAACTAACTAATATATTATCCTTATCTTAACTGGCTACGTGACCTGGACAACCCGGACAAAGTCCCGTGGACATAGTCTGGACAACGTGTGAAAATGGCTTATTAAATATTCTGTCAGCCATTCACATCCCTGGCCTCATGCCTCTGAAACAGCTCAACAAGTAAAGAAAGAGGACGTCGTGCTGTCTGAGAGGAGCAGAGCAGCACAATGTGAACACACTGCAGCATGTGTTGGTTTTTCAATAACAACTGACCTAAGTACAGAAAAAATATTACTGCATCAACCCGACTCTGTTTCAGTGGCAAAGCTACCGTGTTTCACATTCACAGCAGAATATTGAGTCCTAACAGGCCAGTCTGGTGTGTGTAGAGGTGTGCGGCCGTTTCACAGAAGTCTGGTGTGATGTGCATGAGATTTATTGCAGGTAAACAGAGTGGACGGCCGAGCGTGATGGCACTGCGGCCTGCTGGACCAGATCCTGTAGGAGTCACACATATGAACTTCTAGATAAATGCAGAGTGAGTTACTGACCTTCCCACTTGTCGCCACAGTAAACACGATGCATTTTGATGCTGATTTAAATCCATCTACTGGCAGAAGAGTGTTTGATTAAGCATCATTCTGTTATAGTTGTGCATCTGCTCCAAGGACTTTATTTGCTCTTGCTGATAAAAGCACCAGACCGGCAGCAAAGGGATGTCGTGCCAGAAATAAACCTGGCTGTGCCGATCTTCAGCTCAACATCTGAGGCACATTTCCACCAGAATACCACACAGACAGGACACATCCAGAGCACGAGCCTACTTCTGATGGTCTGCCACAAAAATAAGACCCCGTGTGTTCTACATGACTGCATGTGAGTCACTGAGGGAGCCCTGTGGACCTTCGTTTGCGGATTACCCCGGCACAAACTTGGACTGTAGATCAACATTAAACCTTTGACTTACATCTTTTCACCCACTCACATCAAACATCCGTCCATCACTCTACGCACCTTGTTCAGGCTGATCCTGAGCCTGTTGCGGTTGAAGTCCGTGTCCTCCCAGGCGTCTCCTGGCTCTCCGACCAGCTGGACGCCCATTTCCCCGGGGGATCGGCTGGGTGGGGCCGGGGGGGCGTTCTCCTGATCACTGAGATGTTCGTCCTGCAGAACGTCGTCTGTGTTTTCCCGCTGGAGATCTCCAGGGCCCGGCGTCACGATGGCTCTGAGCACAGGAAACATTAGAGACGCTGATACAGATGCTTTTATTACAGAAACAACTGCCAGCTGTGGCTCAGGGGGTAGAGCGGGATATCTCCTAGCTGGAAGGTTGGCGGTTCGATTCCCAGCTTCTCTAGTCGACGTGTTCTTGAGCAGGACGCTGAAGCCCTGGTTGCTCCTGGTGATGTGAATGTGAAAGGTGAGCTAGTGTGAAAGTGCTTTGTTTGCAGCAACGCATAGAAAAGTGCTGTATAAGTAAAAGACTGTTTACCAATAAATTCTGTTTGATCTGATCAGTCCTTCAGTTAACACTATCCAGGCTGCCGTCGGTTGTAGTTTGTGTTGGGGTGGGGTCAGCATTTGGTTCTATGTATTTTATAACTGGTTTTATGTGTTGGTTCTCGTCTTCCTAGACTCTAAGTGAACCCTGATGTTGTTTATTAAATAAAGCCGTTCAGCTTTACCAGCCTGGCGTTACCAGCCTGGCGTTATCAGCCTGGCGTTACCAGCCTGGCGCCACCAGCCTGGCGCCATCAGCCTGGTTATCAGCCTGGCGCCATCAGCCTGGCGATCAGCCTGGTGACAAAATGAATGATAATATGAAAATAACACCAGAAATAATCTGTAATAAACCAGAATTATCCCAAAATGTCTGTGTGAAGTTTCAAACTCTTTGAACCAGAAACCATTGCATGTGATTTCTTAATGGTTGAGTGGATGTGAAGAGGCTCTGGTCACAGCTCTTACCCCACCATGGCGGCAGTGGGTCGGGTGTTGTGCTGTGGCTGTGTGGAGGTGCTGGTCGACAGCGTGACATCACTTCCTCCCTTCTCCCAATCGAAAGGCTCGTTCTCGGTGATGATTCGCTCCTTCATGCTGTTCTCAAACACCGACATCAGCAGCTGGACACAGTGAGGAGACAGACTTATGAAGCGGCAGTGAGACGTCCTGCAGACTGCCCACACGGTTTACCTGACGGTGTGTACCTGGTAGTCTGGTTTGGTGTAGTAGTCCAGGGCCAGAACGTGGTCCAGGAAGATGTTAAACTCTGAAGGCATGTGTTTGAGCAGCATCCGATGGTCGTAACGCTCTTTAATCTGACCAACTTGTTCCTGGAAACAAACACCAAAAGCCACTTTCAGCTGCAGTGGGTTAACGAGGATTCACGTCCACTGTTATCACCAGACTCAGGACACCGACAGCACCGGTACTGATGATGGTGTGGTTTCTTTTTCATTTTTTTTAACAAATAATTTATTCCACCACTGTACATAGTAACCATGCATTACCAGCTTGTGCTGACCTTATCTTTGATCTTTCGCCATGGCAACTGTCCGACAGCAAACTCCACCAACATGTAAAACAGTGACCATAGGTCGTCATGGCGACCCATTTCCTGGGGGAGCACAATGACAAAAACACAGCGTCAGGGTTTCGCTGTCAAAGGACAAAGCAGGTGATTGTGTGTTGTTAGGGTGAGTACACCACAGTGACTGCTGCTGTTAGTCTCTGGATGGGATTCATGCAAAACAACAAACACCCAGAAAATCACCACATTTATCCTTTAACAGAACATACGCCGAGAAAATCACCACATTTATCCTTTAACATTGTCATGTGACTGCTGGCGGTGCACACAAGGTTCCATCCACATTTAGTGCAAATGTGAACCAAATATCCTGCAAAGTAAAATGTGAACTAATGCTTCTGTGCACAGGGGGGTGACGACTAGCCAACACTGCTGCAGCCTGAAGTCTTCAGCAGCATACTCATCTTCTTGTCGCAGTCGTTTACGGACGGCGGCTGGCACTAACCTTGTTTTTGTGAGCGTTGACTGAAGCGTAGCGGACCGTCCCTCGGAAACCCGCCACCGTCCTGGGCTGCACACAAGACCAGAGCAAAACCAGTCAACACAGTTCCCAGTCGTAGCTCTCCAGCAAATCTTATATTTTGAAGTGATGTACTCCGAGGAATAAAAAATAATTTTAAAAAATATGAAACTTATAATAATTTACATCCTGTTTATCAAAGAAATTCTGCAAATCTGGGCACCTACCAAAC